ACATTCATGTCACAGTTCCTTCAGAAACACATTTTCCTGCATTATAATGTGAAGTGCTACGTTTCTTCAACCCCCATCTTAAAACTCTGCTTCAGCACATCAGTGATGACTGGAGATCAGAGCAATGGCCCCTGGTCTGATTCTGCTCTCCATGTTCTGGATGGTGTTCCCGTTTGTTCTCTTCTCAGCTGATGGCAACAACCGATCAGAGGAACATCTTGGCAAGTGCCAACAGCTTGTTTGGCCACAAAGCTGGGCTTCATGTCTAAAGCCATGCAAGCAGAATGATTACAGAGGAGATGGGAGGGTTGGGGGTGGGGGCGTGTGGGGGGTACTGTACGAGAGTCAGCGGCAGCACAGCCGGAGGTCACAGTTATGTAACACAACTAATGTCAGACCATCATATAAGATGAGAACATCCCCAGCCTCACTGTTTGATGCCTTTTTCTCTTTACATCAGTTATAATAATCATATTACAGTCAATCTCAAATGTGGAGCCCAGGCTGTCTGTGTGATACATGTGTCAAATAAATATTGGAGGTCAATGTGTTATCACTTTAATAGAATTTGTCTTAAGTGTGCTATACTCTATCATTTTTTGGCTATTATCACTGACACACTCAGTTTTACAGCATGTAAAGCATCTTCTTTTAGATTATTACTCAAATCCTTTTATAATAAAAATAGGACAGAAAGATTGCAATTGGACCTGTTAGTTGGTAATGTAGTGTTGCTTTTCTCAAGAGAGATGGTTACCAGCACAGGAACAGACATTTCCTCTCTATGTGATTAACAACAGAGTGAAGCAGGCCATTAATGGCATTCTCAGCTCGTGAGATAAAGGCCTGGCAGACAGGCGGATTTCAGTTTCCTGTGAAAAATGAGTTGGCTTAATGCGATTCAATTGGAGTTAGATGTGAGAAGAACTGAATACTGGACAGTCAGAGGTGAAGGCTCTGGGAGGATTTGAAAATCCATCACACACTAAATAACCACAGACATCCTTCTTCACTTTCATTTATCCCTGTGAATATGCTCCATTGGCTCTGAAAAGGACTCATACAGAGATTATTTTGAGGAATTATGACAGCGTATTCAACAGGTTGCCAATCTCAGGAGACAAAATAGTGACAGGGAAAGTACGAAGGAAAAGGTGGAGGAGGTGATTGTGTCTTTGAGAATGTTTTCTTTCCACTAAAGTAAAAAAATTAATGTAACACGTTCATGAATACTCTGACATAAGTACATTTAAAAAAGGTCTTCTAAAGCCGTGTTCACACTTCACACTTTTTTCAACTGCCAGCGCCTTTTTTACATACAAGCCTATGAAAAAATGAAAAAGTATGACGCCTTTTCAAAAAAGTGCTGCGCCCGACGCCTTTTTCAGTTGAATTATTTCAACTTGTCAGAAAAGCGCTGGGTGACGTCAAGCGCCTTTCTGACAGCTGACCAATCAGGATGAGTAGTAACCTACGTCCCTAGTTACCTGCGCCCAACAACAGCAAACCTCCACCAGATAATGTGTGCATTGTGTGTCCGCTCCGGTCTGTTACGGGTCCGTGCATCCTCATCCATCAACACCCACCGGCTGCGTTCTCAGGCCGTGTTCACACTTGACTTCTTTTTTCAACTGCTAGCGCCTTTTTTACATACGAGCCTATGGGAAAATGAAAAAGAATGACGCCTTTTTAAAAAGCGGACGCCTTTTCAAAAAGCGCTGCGCCCGACGCCCTTTTCAGTTGAATTATTTCAACTTTTCAGAAAAGCGCTGGGTGACTTCTGTGGTTTGCTTTTTATCTTAAAATCGGTGCCTGGCTCACTCTCCGTTCAAATTTAACAAGAACAGGTAACGTTATTTTCCTGGACTGGTGATGACAGAAATAGCTGTTTGTTAACAATACGATGTGTATCATGAGACGGTTTCAACACGTTTTCTATAATGTTCTAATTTTCAAAAAGAAATGAAAATGAAGTCGATATCTGAATGAATAGGGCTGTCAAACGATAACGTTTTAGAGGTGATTAATCGCTGAATCTCAGTAGTTTATCGCAATGAATCACATTTTTTATAATTCCTGTGAAGTTCCATTATTTTATTTTGAAAAACAGTTTTTTTTGTACTATTTCTAGAATTTTTTGTACTATCTTTAGCTAAGGTAACTTTGCTTCCTCTTTGGATATAAACCTGCTATATCGAAAGACAATAATGAACGACATGGAGATCGAAGGTTACAACATTACCCAAACCACACATCGATTCAGATCCAAAAGATAATGAAAACAGATAAAATGGACGGTAAAAAATGTTGTATCAAGAGGTATCATTACATCCTTGTCTGGAGGCTTATTTGAAGCAGCTGATTATAAGCAACAGATGTTCTCATCATTTTCCTTTACGATATAGATTCCGATACCTAGACTCAAACATCCACAAAAAGTCCCTCATTCCCTTTGCAATAACTACCCTGAATAATAGAAACTACACAACACTTGTTTTTATCGGTTCTTGTTTTGTTTTTTTACTTCCACTCATTTGTCAGTCAAATAACTTTTTCCTGCAAATTTTGCAAATATATTCAGATTCAATTACAACTAATTTGACATGAACCTTTCCCAGTTTTGAAAAGTCAAAAGCACAGCAAAAATATTTCATTGAAGCATCACTTCAGATTGAATTTTTCCTCAGTACATTGTGTAAAGCTACGCCATTCAAGCATGAAGAACTGCAGCCTGTCAGATGTTATTTGGATCTGCCTGTAAACTCAAAGGTCCATGCAATTCTCTGTCATTTCAACTGTTATGATTGATGTGTGCATCAGTGTTTTTTTTTTTAACATTACTGAGAATGACAATTTGTATGTATTTCAATGGCATGTAAACACTTTGCTTAATAGTAAAGAACTTAAAGACTTCAATAGTTTACAAATAACTGACATAAAAACACTGATGATCAGTTCTAAAGCTTCTACTGAGGACACAGAGTACAGGATGTTTTTACTTTGCTGTTGGAAATATGGGAAAGGAGGAGTGGCTCAAGTTAAAACCAAATGTGTACATTGGGATTAAAATAAAACATACAACAGGTGCTCATCTGCATGATGGGGTTATTATAGATTGGATTTATGATATGGTAGACAAGAAGGAGGATGCACTGTAAAAAGAAAATAGAAAAAGGGCCAAAAATACTGAGGAAGTTTTTTGACAATATTAAGTAATAATGACATTAAAACAAGACCAAAGTTATAAGAGACTCTAAGTCCAAGAAACAAAGGTATGATAGTCATGTGCATGATTAGTCGAATAAAGGATTAATGTGTCTTAATTATGTCTTCATCCCTCTCTAGTCAGCACCTGAAGTTGGTTATTGTAATTATTGAGGGCCCTTGATGTTTTCTTATCATAGTATCATAGCCACTCACAACTAGCTTGGGTTGTAGCATCGTTAAATGGGTAAATTAAAGGAAAATAACCATCCAGTTCGTTACTGAAGAATGTGATAAACTGTTTAAAAAAGCATCTAAATAGGGTTCAGGCAAGATGGTGAGGAATGTCCCCCTTTAAAGCAGAGAAAAAGAGATCGTTTGCAGCTATACAGGTGTGACTGTGACAGTTATATAACAAATATCCTAAAAGGGATGACGAAAGAGTCACCTTATTATATTTTTGATTATGTAAAGCAGTAAAGGCCTAGCTTTAAAGTTAACCATGAGGACAGCAGCGATGACACCATAGACTCTATAAACATGGACGTAGTCACAGTGACATCACTGTATTGGAAATGCTGTTTCAAACTAACCTTCGGTCAACCTAGCAACAGGCAAAGAGCTGGAGCCGGGTGGAACGCACCCGTCCATCAGTCAGATCAGCCATGCCCCTTACCATGAATAATAATATCACCAAAACAGATGAGTAGAAATTAGCTACTCAGACCGTTTTGTAATCTGGATGTTAACTTGTTAATTTCTTTTGTAAAAATTGGCATTTTTACAAGATTGTATGAATTTTGCAGCCAGCCTCAAGTGGACACTCAAGGAACTGCAGGTTTAGTTTAATTTTCATTCTGCTTTGATGACACCTCCTCACAAGCTGAAAACCCAAATCAAAAAGAAAAATTGTATAACAAATCTCAGCTGAGTAAGTAAAGTAATGACTTTAAATGAAGTAAAATAATGACTTTTACTTAATTTACACAAATTGAGCAAATTTACTGAACGACGTGACTGTTCAAATTAACAAATATCCATCCAAGTTTGTTGGAAAGTGTAATCATAATCCAGTTTATATAACGCATGTCTGCACTGGAGCGCCCTTACATTGTAGTGTAGAGATAGAAAATATTCTGAATCTGGTTTGTGATTGGTTGTTTTGTCCTGATGAATTCCCCTGAGTCCTCGCTTTCATGATAAATGTTTGTTCTGAAATGCTTGTGATTGTTGACGTGTCTTTATTCCCTGGTGGTACAAAAGGCTGAGTGCGTTGTCTTTATCTGCAATCTAAACAACACTGAACATCGAATGTGTTGAATGCCATTCATTCACCACAATCAGCAGTCTTTTCTACTATATATTGTACTCAACCGCTCGACCGTGTGCACTATCTTCATCATGTTGAAACGCTCCTCTCAGTAAATGTTTACATGCAGGCTGGTTTGGAGTTATCCTCGTTTTGACCTTATCCAGGGCTTTGTGTTTACATGGAACAAGCTAAACCTGGTGACTCATGTAGCTCTATTTATGATAATAATATGGTCCAAATTCATCATAAACTGTGAGCAGATTTTTCATCATTTATCAGCATCTAATACATATTCTGTGCAGGATGTTTTCACTAAAGAACAGACATACTATAATACATACACCATTAATTACAGATGATTAAACGTTTGTATTGTATAACTGGGAAAAGACCTAATGCTAATTATGTTTGGTGTCCCCTGATGAATTCATGTTTTCTGGCTGTGCAAAAAGAAACACTCAAATGAGAAGTCAAACTAATGATCTGATGTTTAAAACGACATTTTATTATGATGAAAGAGAAAACATATGGTAGATGTATAGCCACACACAGTCGACTGCAGTCGCTCCTTTAGTTCATCAGAGATGCTAATCAATGTTAACAGACATATTGCAGCTAATAAGAACCTTCCAGTGGAAAACAAAAATATTTAAATGTGTTTTTAATTCATTTTGAATTACTTAAATGTTTAGACATTGTAAAGTAAACCTACAAAAATGATCAATAAATAAAATGAAGTCTGTGTAAGAAAACTCCTTCAAAAGGTCTTAAACAATTGATAAAACTGCATGAAGACCTCAGTTGGCTGAATCAAGTGTGTTTGGGGCAGCAGCAAAGCCCACTAAGTGCATGTGGTGCAAATTCTGAGGCCATTTCTTTGTTAGGTTTACTGCAATTATTCTCAATATATAACATTTATATGTAGACAAACATGTCAGACTGATAACGCAAGAAATAATTATGCAGGGCTTATAATTTACAAAACATAACCAAATGTGATTCCATGGAGTAAATAACTAAAAATGAAACAAAAGTTCACTGAATTCCAGTGTCCTAAAGCATATACAACAGTTTTCTAAGGTGCAGCAGTGAGTAAGATATGAATCTCTACCATGGTGAGCTCTCACACCTGAGTTAAGCTATGAGGGTATACTTGTGCTCTTTTTAAACTTAAAACCAGCAGCAATAGACTGTATAAAAGAAATGGACGTAGCCTGGTCTCTTAAAGTGAAACCAATTTGAAAGTTCCTAGAGCCTGCATTATTACTAATGGCCAGCAGGAGGCTAATCTGCTGGTTATAAATTATGTCTACTTTTATGGCAGTCAATAAGAAAATGACCCTTCTTCTCCCCCAATTTATAACCATAATAACTTTATTCTAATGAGTGTATGGTCAAAATCATTACTTTCAATATGTTGTTGTCTACCTACAAATAAAATGTGAAAACGCAGGATATGCTCCTGTGGTTACCTTGCGATTGAAATATTACTAGCACAGCCAACAACAGTGAAAATGGTTGTCAAACACTCTAATGAGTCCTTTTGTTTATTGGTTATTACATAGGGCCAAATCCCTAGGAATGGATTGCGTCTTCTAATAGCACCATGAAATTTGATCCGTTTTAGCATGCATTATACCCTTTTCCTATGCTCTGTTCATCCCATGCTGTCTTTTTCTCTCATTTGCAGAGGTTTAGCACCTGCAAAAGCAGCACAATCATTTTGTGGATCCGGCCCTAGAGTTAAAGCTAAAGCTATGGCAACATTTTTTTTATCCAATTAACACACATTTACTGTAATTTTGAGAAGCAATCTAGATCTAGAATTTGCTGATAATGTAGTGTATCAGATGACCTAGCATACGTTAAACAAATGTATGTGATTACCACCTAGAATCTTACTACTTACTATAGATTAGTTTACAGCCTTGCGTTTGCTAACTCCTTGCCGCTCTTAAGAATGAAAACTTCTGGCGACAAGAAACAAGATGATGATAGCCAAAATGCCAAACTGGGCTTTAAAATAATATCCCACCAACCAATGGGTGAAGTCTGGGGGCTACATCTACCTCTTATATAATCTCTATGCGACAAGTAAGTATAGTAAATAAAGCATGTAGTAAAGAAACCATGGGAAACAAATTCATTGTACAACAGTGAGGTATGAAAGGGCTGAGAGGGAGTCGTAGTGGTTCGAGACACTGCCACAATTCGATCCCAACAACTGTTAAAAAGTGTTGCATCCTTCAAAAACACATTTGGGCAAAATCTGCTCTGTCACCATCAATGAAAACAATCAGTCAATATGACTTTCATTTAAGGACAAAAGATGAAACAGATCAGAAACATTGGCTTGAACCGGAACATCAGTTACAGAAACAAAGGAACAGACGGTGAGAACTTTTATGAAAACTTTCACTGAAAAAATAAGCTTTTCCTCCATATCACCAACAAGTGAAGTGTCCAAATATATACACATTTATATTTCTCTGAAGTGTGTATAATACTTACAACCAAAGATCCCTTCAGGAAAGGAAAGTGTATTAAAGAATATTCAATAAAATATTTCTGTGAAGGGATTTATATACAGTTAATACAACCCCAATCTATCTTATAAACATGTATCACAGTGTATTTTGTCCCTTTTTTTTATTCGTCATTTGACCAAGTAATTTACTGAATTCAATACTAAGATGTTTAATATTTGAATTCAGAGACGTACAGAGCTTCACTTGTGTTTTTTTCACCATGTTCTTAATAGTAACAGTTTCATAGTTTGTGAAAAAAAATGCTTCCACTTAAGCAACCATGAGCATTATTTCTCAGAAATGCCAGTAATGATGTTGGTCGTCAACGGTTTGTGCTTAGCTATCGGCAGTTAAAAACATGGCTGGATCCTGCAGGTTCTTCATTGCCAGAATGATGCAAACATCAGGAATCTGGCCTCTCTTTGGGCCAGGAGATGTGTTCACCTCGGAGCATGAAGTCTACTGAGTTTAGATGGAGCTTCGGCGTTTATTGAGTCTCCTGTAGGTGTTGATGCTGTGTAGACCAGTGGAAACAGAGCTGATGCCCGAGTGGCGCTGCAGGCTGCACACACAGCCATTAGAGTGGAAGGGATTGGAATACGCCTCCCCCTGCTCCATGTAGGTATCGGAGTTTGAGAGGTCACGTGGGATGATCATGGGTATAGAGTACTGCAACTTCTCTCTACTCTTGTACCACAGACAGGAGCACATGGATTGAAAGTGTAGAACTTCAGCGTAAACGTTACGCAGACCCCTACTTGCCGCCCCTCCACCACTGCCTCCAACTCCGCTTCCTCCGCCACACCCAGATGGTGTGGAGGAGGAGGAGGCTGGATCCATTGAGCAATGGATGTGTCTCACCGCCTGACCGTTATGGGAGAGGAGAGCCCTCTGCTCTGCATCCCTTTTCTCGTCCTCTGCATTCATGGTCATGAACCTCAGTACTGCTAAGTTGAGGAAGGCTCCGATCACAGCCAGGCCGGTAAGGATGTAGATGAAGCTGAAGGCCACATAATCTGGCTTGGTCTGCAGCGCATGTTCCTTCTGCAGAGCTACGTAATCCCCAAAGCCGATGGTGGTGAGTGTAATGAAGCAGTAGTAGTAAGCGTGAAAGAAGCTCCATCCCTCAAAGTGCGAGAAGGCCAGGGCTCCTACACACAGTGTGCTCATGCAGGATATGAAGCCAATGATCACCATGTTGACCATGGAGACCTCAGTATGCCTCATACCAAGGCACTTCTTCAGGCGGTGGAGCAGGTACCTTACAATGGTGTTGATTCGCTCACCCACGCTCTGGAACATGACCAAAGTGAGAGGGATGCCCAGGAGGGCGTAGAGCATGCAGAACACCTTCCCTCCATCTGTGCTGGGGGCTGCATGGCCATATCCTGAGGAGAAAAGAGAATAAGTAGCAGGGTTACTGACGAGGAACTAATTAAATCTACAGAGCATAGGACAGGGACCCGAGAATAGAAGGCCGGAGGCTGGGAACGATAGTCCAACCTTGGCAAGACGGCTAGAAATGATTTGTATTCGCTTAGCAGCACTTCAGATACATTCAAAGACTCTTCATCTCACAGCGACAATTGAAGATGAGAATGCAAAGCAGTGTGGTAGTGGGAATGACCAAGTGTTGATGTCAGGTATAGGAGCCACAGCTTGAATAATTCATCGACTATTGCACCCTGCAGAGTGCTCCAGCTAATAGGTTCATTTGTACCATATTAGTCCTCTATTTTGTATCCAGATCAAATAAACATAAATTTTTTACATAAAATGTTTTTCCCAGTGTAATTAAATCCATCTTTACCCGGCAATCCTTTGAGTCTTCAGATTGAAAAACCCTTCAGCACAATAGTGAAACTCTGAAGGGGGGGGGTGTGTGTGCAAACCAGTGAGTCCTCTGAAGAATATACAAAGTCCCCTCCAACAACCAATCCTAGGAAAGGCAGAATTACCCACTATGCACTCACAATGAAGAACTCATAAATTCCAGGACGGATTTGATCAACCTCTTATTTCCTGACATTATCTTTCCCCTCCTACTGTCCCAAAGGATAGAGTGCACTCGCATCATCACCACCTACAATTTATTTCCCCTTCATGTGGACCTGTTGCACACAGGAGCAGGAAGTCGACGTGCGTAATAACAAAGACATCAGCAAATGGAAAAGGTTGACCAACAGTTTGAATTTAATTACTGTGAGAGTTGATTTAATTCTAAGGGCTCTGGTTTTATTGTCACTCTGATCCGTGCCGTAGAGCCATCTGTCTGTCTGATGCCAAATCTGTTTAAAGCTTTCCCAAATGTGTTGCCAAAATGAGAGCCATTAAAGTTGATGTATCTCCTTGCGCATGGAAAAACCTGACCTGGTGCCAAGCAGAGACACATATTGCTTCTTAGCATCATTGCCTGTTTGTAGTCTCATATTGTTATGTGATGACAAGGAGATGACTGAAGAGGACTCTGTTCTGATCACAAGTTGATTTATTACATCCCCTTTCACCAAATGACTCATTCTCTAGCTGATGGATGACTTTAAAGATGGCCTTGTATCTGCAGATGTGCCACCAAAACTTCGATTTTAAAATGGATGGATGTCACATTTTTCCAACCATTTGCTGTCCAGGCCCCTCGGCTGAGGAACAACCTGCCTGAGAAACTCGGTTGCTGCATCACTTCTGAAGACTTACTTTTATTGAAAAGGCCTTCCTGTTGTTTGTATTTTTGATCCATGGTGTTTTATATATTTTATCTTTTTAATCGAACCATTGTTTTAGGATGTTCCTTTTTGTATTCTCTACGCCTTTCTGTTTATTTTTTTTTGTTGTCTATTCTATTGTTGGCAGTTTTACATTTGTAATGTAGGTTTTGATAAGTGTTTTTATAAATAAGCCTTATAACTATGTTATTTTTCTTTATATTTTTTGAATTCCGTTGATACATCAACACCCTGGAATGGTGAATCTTAACATTTAAACAACTTGTCCATCTAATGCTTTTAATTTGAAAGGTGTTGTGCGGTAGATATCGCTCAAACGATGTTACATTTATTATTCGGTAACAATGGTTTTTCAAAAATGTTAGCTATCTCATTCACCTGTTTATCCACTGCTTCTATCTATTACAGCCAGATTTTGTTTACTTGAGGTTTGATTTCAACACAATTTTTCCAAGTATTCATTTACAGTTAAGCTCTGTCATTACTTTGAAGGTATTTTAACTTCAGTGGACTGAAGTACAGCCCTATGAAAGCTACCAGTAGCTAACTGTTTGAAAATGATTACTCAGTGTGTTAAGCTATAATTAAGTTTCCTCTGTTACTTTTAGCTAACAAGTTTACTCTAGCTAATTCTAGCCATCATAAACATTTAACTGTGCCATCTGTTATTACCTAATAAGGTAGCTATTACAACTGTTAAGCTAAAACTTATTTTACCAATATGTTGTTAGCTTAAAGGTGCACTGTGGAGTTTTGGTAGACAAATGTGAAAGTTAGAGAAATGTACAGATTTTGTGGTATATGTTCATAACTCTATACACAAACTGTCCTCAGAGGAAAATGTGTTCCTTGTAACACTGAAGATAAAATGCTACACGAGAAGTTATGGTGGGGGGCCCGTAACAGTGAAACTGTAACTGTTAAGTTTGTGTATTTAGTTCAGGAAATATAGCAGAAAATTCTTTCACTTCTCCAACTTTCAAATTCCACTACCAAATCTACATAGTGCACCTTTAATGTGAACAGTACGTCTTTGCTACTTGGTGATCCTCCGTTACTTTTGGCTAGCTTTTTTCCACATTAGCGTTAGCTAGCTTGCATTAAATGCATTATATAGCTACATTAACATTCACATTATTGTCCTGTGCATTTTGTGTTAAGCAACTTATGATTGTATGTTAAGTGATTTAGTATTGTTTAAAACTATGACCACTACCCTAAGCTTAATAGTTCAAAGGGTTATGTTCATTTATTACATTTCAACCAATATACATTTTAGCAACTAAATCTGTCTCAAATTATGGCTCAGTATCTTGTATGTATGTTAATTTCTTTCGGCTATTTCAACAAATATTTGTTCATCAAGTTCTCATCAAGCATCAAAAAAACTTAAAATCCTAAATACCATTCACTTCAGTCTTGTACGATTTTTTTTTTTTTTTTTTTTTAAGATATTGGCTAAATGTTACAAATAAAAGGCTTACAGCACTTATTTTACCCTTGAGTACAGTAAGAGCAGTACAGTCTTTTCAGGTGAGCACAGACGCTGATCTGCCGGCCTGTCAGGATCTGTTAGCCGCAGAGAACTGCTTATTGAGACAACGGGACAACTGGAGTGACAGCTACGCTCGTCACCAGCAGACGCAGGAGCCCGAGGCGACAAGGCCAGCAGTCCCGCCGCTGTCTGAGAGAGTGGAGAGGCTCGCATGACAAGCTCATCCTCCTCCCCTCTCCTCCCCCAGCCTGACAAAAGTGACAAAGTTATCATGAGAGATGATGCCTCTATGGACGGCTTGTTCAGGCACACAGGCCAAAGCCACCATGTCCACCAGACACCTCTGTTACTCTGTAGCTCTCAGCAGAGGAAAAGTGCAACCTTTCTGCTCTGAAAGGTGAAACAAAGCGGTTTCATTTACATCTGAAAATCCTCGGCTCTTGTACTTGCTGCCTGCAGCTGAAGCATAAATATTGAACACATGCAGTCATGTGTATTTGCACATATTTTATGGCGAGTCAGATAAAAAAATGGGGAGACATCAGGGAAATTATAGCCTATCAGGTTTTTCCCTAGCAAACAATAACTCCCTCTTAAATCAGCCCAGTACCTCTATTTGTGTAAGAAATGTTGCAACATATAGAAGGAGTAACAGACTTTTCAAAAACCCGAGGCCAATTAACTCATAATCTTATTCCTTTGATTATCATTTAAAAAGTGACATTTATATAAGACTGCAGGCCAATTAAAGCCTTTGAAAGTCTTACAAGGGAAAACAAACAAGCAGGAGAGGCTTAGAAATGTCAACAGAACACAGGTGCAATATGCTCTGAATCTCATTCCCTCCTCAATGCTGCCTCTCTTTAGGGAATCCTAATTCACAGCCAGTCATCTAATCTTAAACCTCTAGCAAAAGGCTAATGGTCCTGGTTTAAATGCATTAAAATAAATCACTTCAGAGAAGGGCAAAGTATTCCCAAATGATATCTTTAAAAGCTGTCACTCTTTTAGCAGCTGCCATTATGTTTTAATTCAAAGATACAATTTTGATTCTTCGAACACATTTGAGAATCCTCCCATGTATTTTTTATGAGTGTACCGCTTTAATTAGTGTGAAGACTTGTTAACACACACAGATTTTCTAAATTAGTTCTATTAATACTGCTAATCTGCAGTATATCAAATCATATCATTGATGCTTCATGCAGCATCTGAGCTAGTTCAGGGTGCAACATTGGTTATGGCTTTTTAACAGTAACATCATTTCATTTTATGCACTATATATATGAAATCATATTGGACTAGTTTCCAACAGTTCCTATCTTTTCCTATCTTTTTTGGACTATCGATCTAATTTGGCCTGCAGGGAACATCTCCTGAAATGTTCGGTTTAGCCCCATTTCAAGCACATAGTCAAGATCCAGAACTAAAGTTAACAAAGTTAGCTTAATGTTGTCATGTGCTTACACCAACTGGTAAATATATATTATTGTATCCATGTCCTTTAAGACTCAAATGTAACTGCCCTACACATTTTTAAAAGAAAAACATAAAGGACTGAGCCTTTTGTGTTGTGTGAAGTGTTGTGGTTTTTATCATACAAACTCTTGAGTATTGGCTAAAATCATGTTTGGTGAGGTCACAGTGACCTTTGACCTCCACGTTTAAATGAGTATATTTAAGAGTCCAAGTGGATGCTTAAAGAAATAATGTAGACAGTCTTAAGATATCATGTTCATATGAACAGGATGGAAAGACCACAGAAAACACTCATTGGTAACAAAGGCATGGAGGCATAACACCAAACCAACCAGATCCAGGGGTTAACTCTTTATTTTTGGTGCCATCCAGTTCTTGTTTTGCATGAGAAGAAATAATGAATGGTGGTTACTCAGGTACCCACTCTGGAGTTACAGCACTAATTACTCATTAAGCAGAGATAAAGACTGCTTTAAAAATACATGAAAGTCTGGCACAATGTGCCTGTAAGGGCTCTGGTTCTCTGTTACTCAATTAAATTTTCATTGATTACCAGGAACCATTTGTTCTCACCAACAAGAAAAGAAGCACAGCCTACTCATCAGGCACATCGACTCACCTTGGAGAGGAGAGGCCATTTATCAGGAGATAATATATCAGCACTTCGTAAATAGGAGAAGCTGTTGAAACC